GTTTCAACCCTAATTAATCTTATTAATACAAGCAATATTTGTGGTTATCAGCATTTGAATGAAACTGCATTTGAATAAAACAACAAATCCACACTTTTAAGCTTAAATTTCAAAACTTATATTTTAACTACTGATTTTATCTACAGGTTTTTTTTATCAATTTTAAATCATGCTTTTTATTTGTTTTTGTTTTTAATGTCTCTGTAAAGCACTTTGAATCACCTTGTTGTTGAATTGTGCTATATAAACTTGCCTTGCCTTGCCTTATCAAGACTTGTTTGGTAACACATGGCTTGCAATGTAGTACTGCATTAAGGTCGTTTGTAGCATAATTACAAGGACTGATGAATGGTTAGCTAAAAGATTCAACACATTGTTCTGTGGTTAATTCAGTGATATTTTCTTTCACTTTCTGAGGAAGAGTCTTTCATATATATACAGACTAATGATAAGCACAATGAAACTAGGTAAGCAGTATATGCCTTTGTGTGTAATTCAAAGCAAAATAGAAAAAGAAAAAACAACTCTCTTTGGACTTTTACTTATAAACCAGAAATTAGTATCTTTCAAGTTTTATTAATAATCAGATAATAACTACATGAAAATTAAGCTTAATTCTGAACTACTTATTCAACAGCTTAAAACTGAAAATGCTTATCACTTCGATTGTTTATTTCTCGTTGTTGGTGTCGTTTTTTTTTTTGTTTGTTTCTGATTGTAAGACTTGGAGTGGGTGTAAAAAAATGACTTAGTTATTAATAATGGCAGTTATGTATTAATGGCGAAGCATTACAGTAAACCTTCACAGACATTACAGTAAACTGTCAAGAGGGAATGAATGCATCACTCTCGCATTTTTCAAACTGAACTTCATTAAAAATACCTTCTTTGTTTGAAACTTGTTTAACTAGAATGATGAACAGAAACATTTCACCACTCCCTTATTCAACCTCTGAATTGTTCTATTTGTCAAGGCACTAAGAGGATTTGCTGACACTATGTCACAGTTCAGTGTGCAATCACAGTTATTGAAGTATCTCCATGAGACTATTTTTTTCCATTAACCACCTTTTCTAAATAAATAGTTTTGATGTTATATGCAGCTTTTGATTTTCAGCCCTATTACCACCTACACAAGAAACAAAACGGTCCACATTTCATATATCAGAACTGGTCATCACAGTTTAATGCGATGACCAGTTCTACAGATATGACCAGTTCTACTAGATACATAAATTGTCAACAGTTATACAGCGACATGTTGTGGGTTTGCATGGATTTACAGCAAAACATATCTTCTGGGTGTACTGCAGCCTGCAGCATGAGGTGTTGCTCATTGTTTTGTGTAGTTACAATGTCAGTTAACAAGTTCAACCAGTGACAAACAAAAGCAAAGCAAAAGTGCAGCAAGAGAGCAGGTGGAAAAACACACGGCAAGGACATCGTGAGGACGACTGTGATTTCTTTTTAACAACATGGACGGTCAGTCAAGCTTACTTTATATCAGTTACAATTAAAGGGAACACATATGTGTTTAAAGGAAATGTTTTGTTTTGACAAACACAATTATTAGCTTCTGATTAATTGGAAAAAACTGAATGAATCAATTCATTGCTCCAAATATTAGAGAGGGGAAGCCTTGCCATCAGGATCACCATATTACTGAAGTGGTCTGAAGGTCGTTTTGGTCTGCTGTGAACAGTCGGTGTGATGTGATATAGAAACCACATATGTGTACTTTCTCATTCTCTGTTCAGTCTCCATGATGCACAAGGGTGCATGACAAATACCCAGTAACTTATGGCATGTAACCTTTCTTTATCTTTATGGTAACACACATCATGCTTATAATTGTGCTAATTGTGCAGTTATGGTTACAGGTTCTCTCCTCGTTTCTACACTTTATTTTAATTATATATAATCTGATGGTAATAAAATTGTTGCGAATTCTTTTGGTCACACTTAAGCCTGAATCTGAGATTGTGGCAGCCATAAACAGCAGGTATAATTCATCTTCAGAATCAGCAAACTGGTGATTTGGAGTAGCTAATCTGACAAATCTGTGATAGACAATTTACCAAATCGTCAAGTTTGTTTAATGGACTGAGACATGACCTGGAACCCCTGACCTTAAAGTACTCAAAATAGAAGAGGCAACAAAATTTCTTCCATCTCTTCAGTTTTTGATCTTGGGGTCTTTTCAACATAGTGTGGCTTCTGTAACAGCAGTTTCACAGCCCGTAAAGTGGAGTTTGAAGCTAATATGGCTGAAGAACGGGGAAAACAAAGGGTGACTTGTGACCCTGATCTGTGTGTTTATATTAAAAAGCTTTAGAAAAATAAATGTCTTGTTATTACACTCAGATTACATTGTTATCATTTCAGGAACACAGCAAACACAGTTTTCACCGTAACTTATTACTGCTTGTTACTATGGCAATAACTCATTACCGTTTTTAGTGATGGACCTACACAAATTCAGCTGCATGCACTTTGACCATATGTGACACAGACACAGACACTCTGCAAATCAACTGTTAACACCATCAGTCGCAAAATACAGACAAAGTTTTGTCAGTCAGGCATTTCCAGTTCAATCCTCGAACTGATGTAAGTTGTCTGTACATGAATGTTACTGGATGTGATGTCATACATCTGAGCTTCTCAGTTGTTGAAGCCTGTTGCTGTTGTAACAATTTTGTAACACTGTGTACTACATTTAACTTACACACGCATGACCTATGTTCATTAGTTTGTTCTTATTGCACCCTCGTGTCTTCTTTTATCCACTTTACTACTCCTGCTTCAGTATGTCTTACAGTTGCAGTTGCCTCCACTCCTCACCAGTAATATTCAATATTGATCTTGGTCTCTAATTTCAAATCCCATCCCAAAACACGTCTCTTTAAACTAACAAACTCTGATCATTATCTGTCTGTCACACAAATTTCCCATTATCTTATTTTACATGATGCAAGATGATTTGAAAAGTGCCTGAAATAAAATGCTTTACTATTAGTATTGGTTTTAATTTTTATTACTATTAGTGGCAGCAGTAGAAGCATTAGTATTACTATTAGTAGTAATTTGATTTACACATACAAAATTAATACATTTCCCATCATCTCATCATTTATTTCAGCTCAGTAAGCCAGGTATAAGGGGTGAATATCATGAGCACACATCCTCTAAATATCCATTTAACAGGAAATTTCATAGAAAATACATTTACTTAAGCAAAAACATAAACTAAAACATAACCAGCAAATTCAGCAGCAAACCAACAAGACATTTTAAAATTGACTTCTACATCCCTTCATTTACACAAGTGTTTCTTGTCTTCTAGCACTGACTTCAAAGAGGATTGTTCTACTCGGAAAAACTGGGGCTG